GCAGAGCCCTAGAGGGCAGGTGTGTGCAGGGGTCTGGACACAGACAATGGCCGACACCCTGTTTCCTGGCCACTGATGGCCTGGGCCCTTCCCCCCTGCAAGGTGAGAGCTAAAGGGCTGGAGAACAAAGGAATCCGGTGCCCTCCTAGCCCTGGAAAGGGACAAAGCCCAGAGGAGGAGGGGCTGGAGGGAGTTTCAGTTTTGGGGCTGGCTGGGACGTGGAGTGAAGGGCAGACGGGGTTGTCTGGCTCACTGGCCCCAAAATGGACCCAGCTGAGGGGTCCTGTTCTCTGCACCTGCAAGCTCTGTGTTAGATCATGTCCCTGTCGTCTAATAAACCTCTGTTTTACTGGCTGGCTGAGAGTCACGTCTGACTGCAGAGTTGGGGGGCAGGACCCTCTGCCCCCCCCCGGGATCACGCCTGGGCGGATTTGCTGTGGGAAGCACACGGAGGGGCAGAGGAGGCTGAATGCTCTGAGGTCAGACCCAGGAAGGTGGAAGCTGGGTGAGCTGTGTGTCCTGCAGACAGGCTGCTCACACAAAGGAGACTTCCCCAGAGTCCTGCCTGGCTTCGCAGGGAGCAGTTCCAGAGCATCGCCCAGGGACTCCGTGACACAGGCCATCACTCCGCTCTTCCCAAGTTGTTGTGGACTCACAGGCCCGTGTGTTCTCAGCTCCCCACGGTTTCCAGGGAGAACCCCTAGTGTGCCAGCCCTTCTCAAGGTCACCACCTCTTTGCCAGGGTCGAGCAGCAGACTCCTCTGCCCCTGGCACTGCTCACTGCAGTCCCCAGGGGGACCCTGTTACTGCACAGTCCTTGCTGGTCACACACTCCCAGGATGACCCAACACTCTCACAAGTCTTGGGAGACAGGCCAGTCCTTGCCTACAGACAGCCCCGCAACCTGAAGCAAATACTCACCAACAACCACATACCACACAACAGAACCACTAACCCAGGAACTTATCCTTGCAACAAAGCCCGTTGCCAATTGTGCCCACATATCTATTCAGGGGACACCATCACAGGGCCTAATAACATCAGCCACACTATCAGAGGCTCGTTCACCTGCACATCCACCAATGTGATATATGCCATCATGTGCCAGCAATGCCCCTCTGCCATGTACATTGGTCAAACTGGACAGTCTCTACGTAAAAGAATAAATGGACACAAATCAGATGTCAAGAATTATAACATTCATAAACCAGTCGGAGAACACTTCAATCTCTCTGGTCACACAATCACAGACATGAAGGTCGCTATCTTAAAACAAAAAAACTTCAAATCCAGACTCCAGCGAGAAACTGCTGAATTGGAATTCATTTGCAAATTGGATACTATTAATTTAGGCTTAAATAGAGACTGGGAGTGGCTAAGTCATTATGCAAGGTAGCCTGTTTCCTCTTGTTTTTTCCTACCCCCCCCCCCTCAGATGTTCTGGTTTAACTTGGATTTAAACCTGAAGAGTGGTCAGTTTAGATGAGCTATTACCAGCAGGAGAGTGAGTTTGTGTGTGTATGGGGGTGGGGGGGATGTGAGAAAACCTGGATCTATGCAGGAAATAGCCCGACTTGATTATGTAAAGAGTTGTCACTTTGGATGGGCTAGCACCAGCAGGAGAGTGAATTTGTGTGGGGGGGTGGAGGGTGAGAAAACCTGGATTTGTGCTGGAAATGGCCCACCTGATGATCACTTTAGATAAGCTATTACCAGCAGGACAGTGGGGTGGGAGGAGGTATTGTTTCATATTCTCTGTGTGTATATAAAGTCTGCTGCAGTTTCCACGGTAAACATCTGATGAAGTGAGCTGTAGCTCACGAAAGCTCATGCTCAAATAAATTGGTTAGTCTCTAAGGTGCCACAAGTACTCCTTTTCTTTTTGCGAATACAGACTAACACGGCTGTTCCTCTGAAACACTCCCAGGGGTTAACCGCCCCCTGAAACCGCTCCTCTCTGAGCCTTTAGCACTCCTGGTCCTTGTCAATCCCCCTTCGTTTTACTGCTCCCCCGTCACTCACTGCAGGAAGCGCCACCCGAGTGGTGCAGTACATCCCACTGCTGCCACCAGTTGTCATGGTGTCCCTGGGCGATGCTCTGGAACTGCTCCCCATGAAGCCAGTCAGGACTCTGGGGCAGTCGCCTTTCTGTGAGCAGACTGTCTTCAGGACACACAGCTCACACAGCTTCCACCTTCCTGGGTCTGACCTCGGAGCATTCAGCATCCTCTGCCCCTCCGTGCGCTTCCCCCAGCGAGTCCGCCCAGGCGGGGTCTTGGGGAAGCCAGAGGGTCCTGCCCCCCAACTCCGCAGTCAGACGTGACTCTCAGCCAGCCAGAAAAACAGAGACAGGAACATGGTCTAACACAGAGCTTGCAGGTGCAGAGAACAGGACCCTTCATCTGGGTCCATTTTGGGGGTCAGTGAGCCAGACAACCACGTCTGCACTTAACTCCTTGGCCCCAGCCTGCCCCAAACTGAAACTCCCTCCAGCCCCTCCTCCTCTGGGCTTTGTCCCTTTCTAGGGCCAGGAGGTCACCTGATTCCTTTGTTCTCCAACCCTTTAGCTCTCACCTTGCAGGGGGGAAGGGCCCAGGCCATCAGTTGCCAGGAAACAGGGTGTCGGCCATTGTCTGTGTCCAGACCCCTGCACACACCTGCCCTCTAGGGCTCTGCAACAATCATACCTCCTTATCCCACCACCTAGATACTTAAGAACTGCATAGGGGAAACTGAGGCACCCCCACACTATTCAGAGGAAACAATAAGAACAGTCCCGCCTCGTCACACCCCCTCATGCCTGGTTCCCTCCCCCACCCCTGCCCGCCCCTCCTGGAGCACAAGCGTGTGCCCAAGCTCCCAGCAGCTTGCACCTGCCCCCTGCCCCACCGCCCCCGGCACACAGAGAGCCCATTCAGCAGCCGCCAGGGCAGGAAGTGCTGGGCCTGTGGAATGTGGCCACTTGGCTCCCTCCTGCCCCGGCTGCCTCACTGCAGCCTTGTTCTCACTGCCTGGCAGAGAAAACATCACAGGGGCATGCTCAGCCCCCCTTCCCCCTCCCCCCACTCCCTGCTGGGGCCCCAGAAGCCTGGCCAGCCCCAGGCGGGAACCATCCCTGCAGCTGGGGCCCCATGCAGACAGCAGGGCTGCTGGGCTGAGCCGGGCCGTGGGGAAAGCCCTGGAGATGCTCAGGGCGCTGCTGGGACTGGGAGAGATGGGCTGTCCCGGCATGCGGGGCTGGGAACGGGGCCTGGCCAGGGCTTGGCCTGCCTTTGGCATCGCTGCAGCCATGCCGCTGGCCCGGGAGCCCTCGGTAACGCCGCCACTCCGCCACTGTCACGGAGTCCCCGGGCGATGCTCTGGAACGGCTCCCCATGAAGCCAGGCAGGACTCTGGGGAAGTCTCCTTTGTGTGAGCAGCCTGTCTGCAGGACACACAGCTCACCCAGCTTCCACCTTCCTGGGTCTGACCTCGGAGCATTCAGCATCCTCTGCCCCTCCGTGCGCTTCCCACAGCGAGTCCGCCCAGGCGGGGTTCTAGGGAAGCCAGAGGGTCCTGCCCCCCAACTCCGCAGTCAGACGGGACTCTCAGGCAGCCAGTAAAACAGAGGTTTATTAGACGACAGGAACAGGGTCTAACACAGAGCTTGTAGGTGCAGAGAACAGGACCCCTCAGCTGGGTCCATTCTGGGGGGCAGTGAGCCAGACAACCCCGTCTGCCCTTCACTCCATGTCTCCAGCCAGCCCCAAACTGAAACTCCCCCCAGCCCCTCCTCCTCTGGGCTTTGTTCCTTTCCAGGGCTAGGAGGGCACCCGATTCCTTTGTTCTCCAACCCTTTAGCTCTCACCTTGCAGAGGGGAAGGGCCCAGGCCATCAGTGGCCAGGAAACAGGGTGTCGGCCATTGTCTGTGTCCAGACCCCTGCACACACCTGCCCTCTAGAGCTCTGCAATGATCATACACCCTTACCCCACCCCCTAGATACTTAAGAACTTCATAGGGGAAACTGAGGCACCCCCACACTATTCAGAGGAAACATTAAGAACAGTCCCACTTCGTCACAGCCACGCTCCTGCCAGGATGTCCCGCAGGCTTTCTACACCTGCCCCCCTGGGCCAGCCTTCCCCATGAGCAGGGAGCTGCAGGCCCGGGTTAAGGGGGCAGAAGGCCCCCAAGCCACACAGAGACATGGGGCCGGGGGTGGGGGGGGGGTTGTCCGGCTGCTCCCCCACTCTGATCCTGCTGGTGGGGCAGGGAGCCCTTGCCTCTCATGTGCTCTGCTGCTGGGAGCGAGCAGGCCAGTGCGAGGAACAGGGCCCCACGGCCCATCTGCTGCGCGGGTGCCTAAAGCCAGGCCTGCACTGACAAGTCACGCCAGCTCTCGGGGAGCCCAGCCTGTGGCCCCAAGAAACAAACGCAGGCTACAGTGTCCTGAGGGGCCCCTGGTCCACAGCCCAGCTGGTGCACTGACACGGGGCAGCTTCAAGGGCAGGTGGGGGTTGGCTGGGGAAGCCGAGGTGAGGCTGTCAGCCCCCTGGGATGCAGGTCCCAGCTTGGTCTCTGCTGTGAGGAATCAGAGATCAGACTGCAGGGGTCTGCCCCTTTGCTAGCCCCAGCCCCACCATCAGAGTCCAGCAGCTGTGCTGGGTCCTGGGGGTCTTGGGGATCCCCAGCGATGGTCTGAGCCCTGCTCCAGGCCAGACCCCCAATCCCAGGCCATGCTGTGGCAGTCAGGGTCAGCAGGACCCCCTTGCTAGGCAGGGTATGTGCAGACCCGGGGCGGAGCAGAGGGGCCAGGGGTCCCTATGGGGCTGGAGGGGGAGCAGGTCTGAGACCTCTCTGATGAGGGGTTGGAATGTGGTGAGCCTGAGGCTCCTGGGAAACCCCTGCCTGGAGCCACCCCCTGTGTGACTCTTCCCCACCCAGGGCTGCAGTCCCAGTCCCGCTCCCTTGCCCCGCGGCCGGCCCGGGACACAAAGCCCCAACACAGACAGCCCCAGCTCGTACCAGCAACCCTTTATTTAAAAAGGTGAATCCACAGCAAACAACAGAGATCTGGGTGCAGCTGGGCCCACGAGTCAGACAGAGCGAGGGGGCTGCATGGGCAGGGGCCTGGGAAACACGCCAGGGACAGAGCCCCTCCCTGCCAACCCAGCGGGCCTCCTGCTTCTAGGCAGTGCCGTCCCTGGGCAGCGGCATCGGGGTGAGAGGGGCACCCAGCTTCCTCCGCAGCAGCAGCTTCCAGCCTAGAGGTGCTGGAGGTCTCATTCAGCGCGGCCAGGGGCACCTGGCTGGCTCTGCCACAGGGCTCCGTCTCCAGCTACCCAGCGCGGCCAGCTCCCGCCCCAGCTGTGCAGAGCAGGCCCTGCGGCCACACGCAGAGCAGTCTGGCTGCAGGCAGCAGGGAGGGTGGGAAAGATCCGCAGGCCCTGGGAAGGCCAGTGGTGCCCACGGCATGCCCTGTGCTGACGGGTGGGATCTCCCCAAGGCGGGGATGGGGCACAGCTGGGAGTCGGGGGCAGCATGCAGGGCATGCCCGGGGAAAGGGAGACAGTGGTTGGTGGAGGCACGCAGTTCTCCAGTGCGCTGGGGCTTGACTGTTCACGAGCATCATGGCACGGCCTGAGAACAAGGCAGGCGGGCACCAGGCAGCCCTGGGCCCGTCCACGACACACGGGGAGCCAGCCTGGCTGTACGGGGCAGGGACACGCTGCCCAGTCCATGTCCTCTCCCAGAGCAGCATGGGGCTGCTGGTCTCTCCATGAGAGGAGGCTGCAGCTCCCCAGTCCTTCTTGGGGTCCTCGCCTGCTCCCTCCAGCCCAAAGCAGCCTCCGGAGGTCCCAGCAGCGAGCTCAGCACCAGGCCCTGCGCACGGGAGCCACGGGGCAGGCTCCTCAGCAAACTGCAAGGGAAACAGAGTCAGTAGCAGAGCAGCCAGGCCCCGGCCTCAGCCCCAAACACCAACCTCTGCCCCCCAGCTCCAGCTCTGCCCCCTGCCCCTGCTGCCTGTGTGTCGGGACACCGATGGGTCGTGGCTCCAGCCACTGACACAAACAATGGGGTGTGGGGAGCCCAGGAACGACAGCCAGAAGTCACATGCACTCCTTGTGCTACCTGCGGGCTCTCCCTGGGGTGGGGGTCATGGCCCTCAAACCCAAACAGGCAGCAAAGGGTTAACTCTGCAGCCAGGCATCAGAAGGGCCCCCTCATCCTTGCCCTTTGTTCTCTGTTGTCTCACCCCCAACCAGGTGTAGAGTCACCTGGCCAGAACCCCTACGCCCAGCTCAGAAAGGCCTTGCTGACACATGCAACTCACAGGAGAAGGGTGTGCACAAGGCAGGGGGCTATCCCCTGGGGTCTGCACTCATCTGGACTCTCTGGAGCACCACTCGGAGACCCAGGGCGCTGCAGCCCAAGGACCCTGTCTCAGAGCCATGCAGCTCGCCCGTGGGAAAAGCAGAGCCTCGGGCCGGGCATGTTAACGGGGGCAGAGCCAACAAGACTGTGCACTGCCTGGGGGCATCGAAGCCCCCTGTAATGCCATGAGCCCAGGGCAGGCAGCCCCTTCCCACCCCCCAGCCACCCCAGCCTGCGCCCTGCGGCTCAGAGCACACAGGGAGAGTTTGAGCGGAGCCCTGGATACAGTCTGCAGGGGAGCCCTGCCCTGGATGCTGCCCAGACCCCAGGCAGCACAGGCCTGGAACAACCCTGTTCCCAGGTGTGGGGGGCACTGGGGACCTCCAGCCTTCGGGCTCTCTCCCACAGTGTCCCCCACCAGGCCCAGCAGGTCTGTGCCACGACCCTGAAACTACAGAGCTCTCACCTCCAGGCTCGACTCCCTCCCTCGGGTCCTGCCACTGCTTCTCCGGTGTCCAGGGCCGTGGTGGGGGGGAGCCTGCAGCCGCTGGCCTTTCCCAGGGGGCCTGGGGCTGGGCTCAAAGCAATCTCCAATTTCCCAGCACAATTCCATCCAAAGTGTAGCTTCCTCTGGGCCTTGCTGGCAGCCCCGTTCCAGCCCTTGCAGCCAGTCCATCCCCGGGGCCTCGTGGCTAGAGGAGGGGTCAGGAGAGGAGCCAGAGCTGGGGGTTTCCAAGGGTGTGCTGGAGCCGGTCAAGTTCCCCGAGCTGTCAGTTCTCGGTGGGGGGCCACAGGCCAGGCTGATCCACCCTCTGGCTCCCCTTGCCTTCGCAGAGAGCTCTGGAGGTCGCTGGGGTGAAAGGCACTTCACCGGGTTGCAGCCAAGCGAGGTCACCAGGCCCGGGAAAACCAGGGGCCTGAGAGATGGGTACAGACGTGGGGGAAGGGGGCAGCGCTCCTGGAACAAGGCACAGCCCCCAGCCGCTGCGTCTCCAGAGTCGCTCTCTGCCTCCTTCGCAGCGCTGGGCTCCCGCTGCCAGTCCAGCTCACAGCGCCCAGGGCACGTCATGCCCGCCCCGCTCCAGGGGCAAGAGCAGCGCCGCATCGATGGCACCAGGGTGGAAGTCTGTAAAAAATCTAAGGCACTTGCTGCCCCTTTGCCCGGGGGCTCCTCTGCGCTGCCCAGGGGCCGGGGGCACAGCCCTGAGTCACCGCCCGTGGAATCAGCTCGCAGAGCAGGGCGGCCAGCACTTCCCTTGCACCCCAAGCAGTCCAGGCCTGGCTTGCCCAGCCGGAGGGGCCCTCCGCGGGGGATCTTCCGAAGGTGGAGCCGTCTCCTCTCAGCGGGGTCTCTGCTTGGTTACGAAACCTGCCTGTCTTTCCCTTGAATTTCCTTATTGGGCTAAATTCCACCAATTTCAAATCCGTCCCACCCTGCAACGTCAGCTGGGCACAGTGTCTTTCACTTCCCACCCTCTCCAGCTGCACCGGGGTTAAAGAACGGCTGCATGCCACCCCAGAGGTAGCTGCACGTCCCTGGCAGGTGGGGAGACCCCTGTGCACAGTTTGTGTGCATGGCCTCTGCAAAGAAAAGGGCACTAGGGAGAGACACACCCCCGAGCAGGAGGCTGAGCTGAAGGGGGCTCTCAGGCTGCCCTGACATACCCGGGCCTGGAACATCTTGCATGGCCCAGCCCCTGCTCCTTCCGCCCGCATCCATGAGTCAGGGCTGGGCATGGGCAGCAGCAGTGAACAAGGGCTTTGCCCTACTGGGGCCTCACTCCCTGGGAATGCGTGGCCGGGGAAAGGGTGGTGGCTCTGGGCTGGCACTCGACTCCCCTTCCTGCTACATGCCACCCGCCCAGCCTAGGAGGCATAGTTCTGTCCCTGAGCGGATGGGGCAGGAGCAGGGGCTGCATGTGGGGGCAGGGGAGAGTGAGGGCTCAGCCCCTGGGAGGGGGGGAGGTCTCAGAGCACAGCAGGGGGTCCCACTAGGGAGCTTTGGGGGGTCTCTGGGCAGTCAGTTCCCATAGATCAGGGCTTCTCCCTGGGCGTTTCCAGCCTGGGGAGGGGCTGATCTTGGGAAGCTCATCCTGGCTGGGCAGTGGATGCTAGGAGGGGCTCCTGGGGTGCCTGAACTCCCCTCCCTCCCCGACAGCCATGGGGGCCTGCTCCCTCCTGTCCCAGCCCCATAGCCCAGGCTCCCCGTGCCCAGCCACCCCCTGCAGAGCGAGTGAGCGGAGACCCAGAGCCAGCACCCACCTGTGAGAGCCGGAAGGGGGGAGCCAGAGGGCCAGCAGCCCCCACCTTTGGGCAATCGGGGCTGGGGTTCTTTGGCTGAGACTAGCCTGTGTCCGTCCGTCCTCCGGGGCGGGGGGTCCCTGTGTCTGGGGGCTGCGGGTCCCTGCCTGGCTAGGGGAGCCGTCAGGCCGGTAGTGGTCGGTCGGTCTGTCTGTTCCGGGGGCGATCCGTCCCTGGTGGAGGCCGAGGGGCTCTGTCCGTCGGTCTGTCCCGGGGGCGATCCGTCCCTGCTGGAGGCCCAGGGGCTCTGTCCGTCGGTCGGTCCCGGGGGCGATCCGTCCCTGGTGGAGGCCGAGGGGTTCTGTCCATCGGTCTGTCCCGGGGGCGATCCGTCCCTGCTGGAGGCCCAGGGGCTCTGTACGTCGGTCTGTCCCGGGGACGATCCGTCCCTGCTGGAGGCCCAGGGGCTCTGTCCGTCGGTCGGTCCCGGGGGCAATCCGTCCCTGGCGGGGCCGAGGGGCTCTGTCCGTCGGTCGGTCCCGGGGGTGATCTGTCCCTGGCGGGGCCGAGGGGCTCTGTCCGTCGGTCTGTCCCGGGGGCGATGGAGGCCGAGGGGTTCTGCCCGTCGGTCGGTCCCGGGGGCGATCCGTCCCTGGCGGGGCCGAGGGGCTCTGTCCGTCGGTCGGTCCCGGGGGCGATCCGTCCCCGGCAGGGCCGAGGGGCTCTGTCCGTCAGTCGGTCCCGGGGGCGACCCGTCCCTGCTGGAGGCCGAGGGGCTCTGTCCGTCGGTCTGTCCCGGGAGGGCTCCGTCCCTGGCGGGGCCGAGGGGCTCTGTCCGTCGCTCGGTCCCGGGGGCGATCCGTCCCTGCTGGAGGCCGAGGGGCTCTGTCCGTCGGTCTGTCCCGGGGGCGATGGAGGCCAAGGGGCTCTGTCCGTCGGTCTGTCCTGGGGACGACCCGTCCCTGCTGGAGGCCGAGGGGCTCTGCCCGTCGGTTGGTCCCGGGGGCGATCCGTCCCTGGCGGGGCCGAGGGGCTCTGTCCGTCGGTCGGTCCCGGGGGCGATGGAGGCCGAGGGGCTCTGTCCGTCGCTCGGTCCTGGGGGCGATCCGTCCCTGGCGGGGCCGAGGGGCTCTGTCCGTCGGTCGGTCCCGGGGGCGACCCGTCCCTGGCGGGGCCGAGGGGCTCTGTCCGTCGGTCTGTCCTGGGGGCGACCCGTCCCTGCTGGAGGCCGAGGGGCTCTGCCCGTCGGTCGGTCCCGGGGGCGATCCGTCCCTGCTGGAGGCCGAGGGGCTCTGCCCGTCGGTCTGTCCCGGGAGGGCTCTGTCCCTGGCGGGGCCGAGGGGCTCTGTCCGTCGGTCGGTCCCGGGGGCGATCCGTCCCTGCTGGAGGCCGAGGGGCTCTGTCCGTCAGTCTGTCCCGGGGGCGATGGAGGCCGAGGGGCTCTGTCTGTCGGTCTGTCCCGGGGGCGATGGAGGCCGAGGGGCTCTGTCCGTCGGTCTGTCCCGGGGGCGACCCGTCCCTGCTGGAGGCCGAGGGGCTCTGCCCGTCGGTCGGTCCTGGGGGCGATCCGTCCCTGGCGGGGCCGAGGGGCTCTGTCCGTCGGTCGGTCCCGGGGGCGATGGAGGCCAAGGGGCTCTGTCCGTCGGTCTGTCCCGGGGGCGATGGAGGCCGAGGGCTCTGTCTGTCGTCTGTCCCGGGGCGATGGAGGCCGAGGGCTCTGTCCGTCGGTCTGTCCCGGGGCGACCCGTCCCTGCTGGAGGCCGAGGGCTCTGCCCGTCGGTCGGTCCTGGGGCGATCCGCCCTGGCGGGGCCGAGGGGCTCTGTCCGTCGGTCGGTCCCGGGGGCGATGGAGGCCAAGGGGCTCTGTCCGTCGGTCTGTCCCGGGGGCGATGGAGGCCGAGGGGCTCTGTCCGTCGGTCGGTCCCGGGGGCGACCCGTCCCTGGCGGGGCCGAGGGGCTCTGTCCGTCGGTCGGTCCCGGGGGCGATGGAGGCCCAGGGGCTCGGTCCGTCGGTCGGTCCCGGGGGCGATGGAGGCCGAGGGGCTCTGTCCGTCGGTCGGTCCCGGGGGCGATGGAGGCCGAGGGGCTCTGTCCGTCGGTCGGTCCCGGGGGCGATGGAGGCCCAGGGGCTCGGTCCGTCGGTCGGTCCCGGGGGCGATGGAGGCCGAGGGGCTCTGTCCGTCGGTCGGTCCCGGGGGCGATGGAGGCCGAGGGGCTCTGTCCGTCGGTCGGTCCCGGGGCGATGGAGGCCGAGGGGCTCGGTCCGTCGGTCGGTCCCGGGCGATGGAGGCGGGGCTCTGTCGTCGGTCGGTCCCGGGGCGTGGAGGCCGAGGGGCTCTGTCGTCGGTCGGTCCCGGGGCGTGGAGGCCAGGGCTCGGTCGTCGGTCGGTCCCGGGCGATGGAGGCCCAGGGGCTCGGTCGTCGGTCGGTCCCGGGGCGATGGAGGCCGAGGGGCTCTGTCCGTCGGTCGGTCCCGGGGCGATGGAGGCCGAGGGGCTCTGTCGTCGGTCTGTCCCGGGGCGACCCGTCCCTGCTGGAGGCGAGGGGCTCTCCCGTCGGTTGGTCCCGGCGACCCGCCTGGCGGGGCCGAGGGGCTCTTCCGTCGGTCTGTCCGGGGGCATGGAGGCCGAGGGGCTCGGTCCGTCGGTCGGTCCCGGGGGCGATGGAGGCCGAGGGGCTCTGTCCGTCGGTCGGTCCCGGGGGCGATGGAGGCCCAGGGGCTCTGTCCGTCGGTCGGTCCCGGGGGCGATGGAGGCCCAGGGGCTCGGTCCGGCGGGCGCTCAGACGATGTCGCGGTGGCCCCGGCGGCGGCGCGCCAGGCAGTAGAGGCCGGAGAGCAGGTGCAGGGCGGCGGCCAGCGCGGCGCAGGCGGCGGCGGCCAGGTAGGCGCGGTAGAGGCAGGGCTGGCTGTAGCCCGGCAGGCTGCAGTAGCTGTGACGCGCCGCCTTGTGGCCCATGACGCCCGCGGCCGCCGCGTAGAGCCCGGCGCCCAGCGCCAGGTCGTGCGCCGCGTTGGCGAGCAGCCAGCGGGCGCCCAGCAGCGGCACCAGCGCCCAGCGCCCCAGCAGGCTGAGGCCGGAGAGCGCCAGCGCCAGCAGCCAGGCCAGCACGGCGGCGAAGAGCGCGAAGTGCGCCGCGCCCTCGTACTTGTGCGCCGCCACCGTCCCCCAGCAGGCGGCGCCCAGGAGCAGCTGCCCCAGGCGCAGCGGGGCCAGCGGGCTGCGCAGGAAGGGCCGGTGCAGGCTCAGCGGCCCGCGGGCGGGCGGCGCGGGCGCGGGCGGCGGCGCGGCGGGCGGCGCGGGCGGGGGCATGGCGCAGCGCTGGGGCCTCGGGCCGCTCCCCGTCCGTCCGTCCGTCCGTCCCTCCCTCCCGGCAGCCACTTCCTCTGCGCTCGGCTGCCAAACATCTGGCGCCTAACGGTCCTGCCTGCGCCGGGCGCCCTGCCCGGCCCCGCCCCGCCTCGGCCCAGCCCGGGACGTGCCAGAGGCTCCCTGCAAGGGGCGGGCTCCGCCGCGGAGCCGGCCCCCAGCGCGGCCCCCGGCCTGGCCTCTCCCGGCCTGGGGGCCCCGGGGCGCTCTCGGCGGGGGGCGCAGGGAGAGGCCAGGCCCGCACGACCCGCTGCTGCTGGGGGCGGCAAGAGCCCTGGGGGCTGCCGCTTCCAGCGAGAGCGCCGAGCGGCTCCCCGTGTCTCCCCCGGCGGCTGTGGCCACGGAGCCGGGCGTCCCCAGCCCCGTTACAATGCCAGGCATCTCCAGCCCCATCGGGCGTCCCCAGCCCTGTCACAACGCCGGGCGTCCCCAGCCCCATCAGGCATCCCCAGCCCTGTCACAACGCCGGGCGTCCCCAGCCCTGCCGGGCGTCCCCAACCTTAAACTCCTCCGCGTCCCCAGCCCCGTTACAATGCCAGGCATCTCCAGCCCCATCGGGCGTCCCCAGCCCCATTACAACGCCGGGTGTCCGCAGCCCCATCAGGCGTCCCCAGCCCTGTTACAACGCCGGGCGTCCCCAGCCCTGCCGGGCGTCCCCAGCCCCGTTACAACGCCGGGCGTCCCCAGCCCCATTACAATGCCAGGCATCTCCAGCCCCATCGGGCGTCCCCAGCCCTGTCACAACGCCGGTGTCCCAGCCCCATCAGGCATCCCCAGCCCTGTCACAACGCCGGCGTCCCCAGCCCCTTAATGAGGCATCTCCAGCCCCATCCCCCCAGCCCATTACAACGCCGGGTGTCCGCAGCCCTGCCGGGCTCCCCAGCCCTGTCCAGCCGGGCTCCCCAGCCCTGTCACAACGCCGGGCGTCCCCAGCCCCGTTACAATGCCAGGCATCTCCAGCCCCATCGGGCGTCCCCAGCCCTGTCACAACGCCGGGTGTCCGCAGCCCCATCAGGCATCCCCAGCCCTGTCACAACGCCGGGCGTCCCCAGCCCTGCCGGGCGTCCCCAACCCCGTTACAACGCCGGGCGTCCCCAGCCCTGCCGGCGTCCCCAGCCCCGTTACAATGAGCTCTCCCCATCTCCCCAGCCCCATTACAACGCCGGGTGTCCGCAGCCCCATCAGGCGTCCCCAGCCCTGTTACAACGCCGGCGTCCCCACCCTGCCGGCGTCCCCAGCCCCTTACAACCCGGGCGTCCCCAGCCCCATTACAATGCCAGGCATCTCCAGCCCCATCGGGCGTCCCCAGCCCTTCCAACCCGGGTTCCGCAGCCCCATCAGGCTCCCCAGCCCTGTCACAACCCCGTCCCCAGCCCCTTACAATGCCAGCATCTCCAGCCCCATCGGTCCCCAGCCCCATTACAACGCCGGGTGTCCAGCCCTCCCTCCCCAGCCCTGTCACAACGCCGGGCGTCCCCAGCCCTGTCACAACGCCGGGCGTCCCCAGCCCCGTTACAATGCCAGGCATCTCCAGCCCCATCGGGCGTCCCCAGCCCTGTCACAACGCCGGGTGTCCGCAGCCCCATCAGGCATCCCCAGCCCTGTCACAACGCCGGGCGTCCCCAGCCCTGCCGGGCGTCCCCAACCCCGTTACAACGCCGGGCGTCCCCAGCCCTGCCGGCGTCCCCAGCCCCGTTACAATGCCAGGCATCTCCAGCCCCATCGGGCGTCCCCAGCCCCATTACAACGCCGGGTGTCCGCAGCCCCATCAGGCGTCCCCAGCCCTGTTACAACGCCGGGCGTCCCCAGCCCTGCCGGGCGTCCCCAGCCCCGTTACAACGCCGGGCGTCCCCAGCCCCATTACAATGCCAGGCATCTCCAGCCCCATCGGGCGTCCCCAGCCCTGTCACAACGCCGGGTGTCCGCAGCCCCATCAGGCATCCCCAGCCCTGTCACAACGCCGGGCGTCCCCACCCTCGCGTCCCCAACCCCTTACAACGCCGGGTGTCCAGCCCCATCAGGCATCCCCAGCCCTGTCACAACCCGGCGTCCCCAGCCCCGTTACAATGCCAGGCATCTCAGCCCCATCGGGCGCCCCACCCCATTACAACGCCGGTGTCCGCAGCCCTGCCGGGCGTCCCCAGCCCTGTCACACGCCGGCGTCCCCAGCCTGTCCAACGCCGTCCCCAGCCCCGTTACAATGCCAGGCATCCAGCCCCATCGGGCGTCCCCAGCCCCTTACAACGCCGGGTGTCCGCAGCCCCATCGGGCGTCCCCAGCCCCTTACAACGCCGGGTGTCCGCAGCCCATCAGGCATCCCCAGCCCTGTCACAACGCCGGGCGTCCCCAGCCCTGCCTGGCGTCCCCAGCCCCGTTACAACGCCGGGCGTCCGCAGCCCTGCCAGGCGTCCCCAGCCCCGTTACAACGCCGGGCGTCCCCAGCCCCATCAGGCGTCCCCAGCCCCGTTACACGCCCTCCCATCCCTCCGGCTCCCCAGCCCCGTTACAACGCCGGGCGTCCCCAGCCCTGCCGGGCGTCCCCAGCCCCGTTACAACGCCGGGCGTCCCCAGCCCCATCAGGCGTCCCCAGCCCCGTTACAATGCCAGGCATCTCCAGCCCTGTCACAACGCCGGGCATCCCCAGCCCTGCCGGGCGTCCCAGCCCTGCCGGGCGTCCCCAACCCCGTTACAACGCCGGGCGTCCCCAGCCCTGCTGGGCGTCCCCAGCCCCGGTTACGATGCCGGGCGTCCCCAGCCCTGCTGGGCGTCCCCAGCCCCATTACAATGCCAGGCATCTCCAGCCCCATCAGGCATCCCCAGCCCTGTCACAACTCCGGGCATCCCCAGCCCCATTCGGCATCTCCAGCCCCATCGGGCGTCCCCAGCCCCATTACAACGCCGGGTGTCCGCAGCCCCATCGGGCGTCCCCAGCCCTGTTACAACGCCGGGCGTCCCCAGCCCTGCCGGGCGTCCCCAGCCCCGTTACAACGCCGGGCGTCCCCAGCCCCATTACAATGCCAGGCATCTCCAGCCCCATCGGGCGTCCCCAGCCCTGTCACAACGCCGGGTGTCCGCAGCCCCATCAGGCATCCCCAGCCCTGTCACAACGCCGGGCGTCCCCAGCCCTGCCGGGCGTCCCCAACCCCGTTACAACGCCGGGTGTCCGCAGCCCCATCAGGCATCCCCAGCCCTGTCACAACGCCGGGCGTCCCCAGCCCCGTTACAATGCCAGGCATCTCCAGCCCCATCGGGCGTCCCCAGCCCCATTACAACGCCGGGTGTCCGCAGCCCTGCCGGGCGTCCCCAGCCCTGTCACAACGCCGGGCGTCCCCAGCCCCGTTACAATGCCAGGCATCTCCAGCCCCATCGGGCGTCCCCAGCCCTGTCACAACGCCGGGTGTCCGCAGCCCCATCAGGCATCCCCAGCCCTGTCACAACGCCGGGCGTCCCCAGCCCTGCCCCCCCCCCTCAATCCAGGCATCTCCCCCATCCCCCACCCTTCACAACTTCCCCCCATCGCATCCCCCCCTTACAACCCTTGCAGTGCGTCCCCACCCTTCCACCCCTCCCCCCCCTTAAATCCAGCATTCAGCCCCATGCCCCACCCCATTCAACCTTCCCACCTCGGGCTCCCCACCCTGTCACAACGCCGGGCGTCCCCAGCCCTGCCAGGCGTCCCCAGCCCCGTTACAACGCCGGCGTCCCCAGCCCCATTACAATGCCAGGCATCTCCAGCCCCATCGGGCGTCCCAGCCCTTCACAACGCCGGCGTCCCCACCCCTCAGCATCCCCACCCTGTCACAACGGCCCCCTGTCCCCAACCCCTTCAAGCCCACCTCCCCAGCCCCGTTAAATGCAGCATTCACCCCATCCCCCCACCCCATTACAACCCGTTCCACCCATCCTCCCCGCCCTGTTACAACGCCGGCCCCCAGCCCTGCCGGCGTCCCCAGCCCCTACAACGCCGGGCTCCCCAGCCCCATTACAATGCCAGGCATCTCCAGCCCCATCGGGCGTCCCCAGCCCTGTCACAACGCCGGGTGTCCCAGCCCCATCAGGCATCCCCAGCCCTGTCACAACGCCGCTCCCCAGCCCTGCCGGGCGTCCCCAACCCCGTTACAACGCCGGGTGTCCGCAGCCCCATCAGGCATCCCCAGCCCTGTCACAACGCCGGGCGTCCCCAGCCCCGTTACAATGCCAGGCATCTCCAGCCCCATCGGGCGTCCCCAGCCCCATTACAACCCGGGTGTCCG